TTCACTACATCGCGTCTCGAAAGCACTTCACGGTATCATCACCTGTATCACCTGTCGTCCCGTTGATCATCGAATTGCTCGAGCGGGCGCCAGCAACGTCTCCATTCGTCCCTGTCGCGTGCAAGAGTTGTCCAGTGGACCCTCCTCGCTCGAGGGACACGATGTCCTTCATTCCTTTCGTTCAGAGCTTTCGTGAAGAAGTCTGACCATCGGGCCGGCGGTCGTCCAGGTGTTCGTTTGACGTCCCGAGGGATCCAGTCGGTAACCGCTCTGGTCCAACGGTCATCGCAAAATCGCATGACGTGTCCGGCCCACCTTATCTTCGATTCCTTGGCGAAAACGGCAGCGTCCCTGATCTTCGATCGTTGGCGTAGTTCGGCACTCCGGATTCCCCTCTGCACTTGCGTGTATAGGGTTACTCCTAGCATCGTCCTCTCGACAGCGCGTTGGATAACGCTGACCGCATGCTCGTCCTGCCTGCGCAGAGTCCAAGTCTCTGAGGCGTAGGTTAGGGCAGGAAGGACAGCGGAATCGAAGAGGTGGGCACGGAGCCGGATGTTCTTCGTCTTCTTCACTACTCCCTCGATGTTCTTATACGCTCCCCAAGCCGCTCGTTTCCTCCTGCTCAGCTCTGGAGCTAGATCGTTCATCATATTGATTTCCCGACCTAGGTACACGTAGCTGGAGCATTCGGTGATGTTCGTTCCGTTGAGCGTGAATGGGGCATCAGGAACCAATCCGTTTCTCATAAACATCGTCTTCGTTAGGTTCAGCTGTAGACCAACCTTACCACAGGCGCAGTCGAAATCAGCCAGCATTCGCTCCGCTTGCTCGATGTTCGGCGTTATAAGAACGATGTCGTCAGCAAAACGAAGGTGGTGTAGTTGCCGGCCGTCGACCTTCACTCCCATGTCTTCCCATTCCAGTTGACGCATGACGTTCTCGAGAGCGGCGCTGAAGAGTTTGGGCGAGATGGTGTCGCCCTGTCGAACCCCTCTCTTGACGTCGATGATGACCTCCTTGTAGAATGGTGAGATCCTGGTCGTAAAGTTGCTGTAGAGCTCACGAAGAATCTTGATGTACTGAGTAGGGACGCCCTGGTTGCCCAAGGCTTCGATGACCGCTTCTGTCTCCACAGAGTCGAAGGCCTTCTTCAAGTCGATGAACGTGAGACAAAGCGGCATCTTGTACTCTCGTGAAACTTCAATGAGTCTTGTAACCGTGTGGATATGGTCGATCGTGCTGAACCCTCTTCGAACCCTGCTTGCTCGCATGGCTGTCCTTCATCTAGTATTCTGCCGATCCTGTTAAGGATGACTCGAGTGAATAGCTTGTAGATTACAGACAGCAGCAGCTTAACGCTAAAATGCAACCGAGAAACTACCACTGTGTGAACTTTGTGCATCGCCGGTCACCCATGTACCACTGTTTCTTCCATCAAAATTGATCACATTCCTGTGACTTTTAGTAAACATTGCTGGTCTTCATGAGTTTTGGTTACAATTGCTTGGTCTCATGAAATTCATGCGAACGGCGTGGGTAAAAATACATCTTTCTGACAGTGTCTTAATGGCATTAAGATTGGAAACTTTTTTTTACTGTGAATGTTAAGGTCGACTTTCTGTATGTTGTCTAGAACTGTTGATCATACAAGACTACGGACATCGTTCGTAGATCTGAGTTACTATTAAGCTTCAACAGAGTTTTACGCGGCTGACAAATGTAAAAAAAACCTAGAAACTATTCAAATCTTACGAAGTGACTGGTGAGGTTTAATCATGATAAGAAACAATTCATTGTTTCTAAAGGAACAACAAACAGCACTGAAATTCGGAGGGGTTAGACCAAGTGAGGCTCTGGCTGAGGTATTCGGATCGACCTCAACCACCTATCACTCAACCACCTTCCGATCTATCACTTGGGAGACGAGGGATATCTGTGATGACGCTCAAGCAGATGTATGTCTTCAAGTTCGTTTAGGACTTTTCCAAGGGAAGTCTGTAGAGATTCCGAATTCCAGAATAGCTTATGCTGCTTTAGGTCTGATTCCCAGACGAAGCACTCAAGCAGATTCGTATTACTGTAACAATAACATTCTTGGCTACCTCGCAAATCCAACGGTTTTGACTACAGTGGAAGCTCGCAAAATCCCTTGAATCGCTCAAGCGATGGACGTTGGTGGCTTCCGACTCCCATCGCGCTCACAAAGCTTTCCTAACTCTGCGATCTTTCCAATGGTACATCATACCGCGGTCTTATTTACTTCGAGCTCTTCTGCTGCCCACAATAGCATGGAAATGAGCGGAGGATTTCACTATTTTGAAAGGCCACTTTATCAAAGGCAGTGATCATCGTGGCTGGGAGACGATGCGGTTTTCGTAATGCACTGGACGTCCATGAAGAAGACGTAAGTTCCCACTACCCTCCAGCACACTGGAGTAGTCCACCTGGACGTCCCAGATACATCATCAAACAGCACGTCCCTTCCATAGGATCACCTGCCCTTCAAGGTGTTCCAGCTATACAATGAAGAATGCTGCACTATCCGTAAGTACACAAACCTAATAATGAACTTGAAAAAACACGACGCTGCGTGACCGCGAACTTGTGCCCTCTTCTTAGGATTTGCGGCGCATCTTCATATATTGAGATCGCAATGGTCAAAATATACTTCTTCTCTCGTTCCAAAGTTCTCGATAGCTTGCGGTTTCAGGGTGAACACCATCTGTACTTTTGTTTTCGCATATCTTTTTTAGCTTGCCTTCATGAACTATGGAACGTCTGTCGAATCGTTCATTCGAAGCTCTTCGCTTAAAACTTTGATGTATGTGAGTTTCAGGACATGAGTTTCGACGACGACCTTCATACACTATATGTAAGTTGATATGGGGTGAGATCATCCATTGTGTGATGAAAAGCTCTAAACCAAGGTAAAGATGAGAGTAAATAATCGTAAAAATGTACAGGTAAAGGACTGGCGTAACTACGGGTTGATTTGGGAAAAAAAACAGAAACATCTGAGATTCATAATTCTGACATCAAAAACTAACATACATTCCCATTGCTCTCTCATTCTACTGCCGGCCTTCATATGAGCGAACAATAAAATGAACCTAATTTATATGTGTGTATCATATATTATAGACGTAAAAACGATGAACTATCTCTATTCTCCTTCTTTTTACTCGTTATATTTATCTGATTTATCGCCTATAAATCATTCTCGTGAATCTTGCCTTGCATATGGTAAGTCCGCTCCATTTCTGCCAATGTCGATTCCCCCACCTTCCAAGATTTGGTGAATTCTATCAAATAACTTTTTGGGTGGCGATGTATGTACAAGACGGCGTACCGCAATTTCCACCTTCCTTGATTCTTTTCGATTCTTTGTTTTCTTTTGATTGACTTTTGAATTTCTTTGTTTTTTTCCGTTCTATCAACAAGATATGAAAATCTACGAAACTCTCATTTAGAATGCCTAAGAATGTCGAAAGAACAAATAAGTCTGACACCGCAAACAGCAGCACACGCAAATCCAATCCCCACCCCCCTCCCTCCCGATGTTCCCCTTCCCGTACGAAAAGAAAAAACGAATTTGGCTATGATATTACGGTGATATGTGAAAGATATTATTACCGTAACCGTGTAATCAGCTATCTCTCTGCAGTAGTCGAGGTAGTGCAGTGGCAAGAGGGGCAGCTTATCACGCGATGGTTCCGAGAGCATAAGCTGGATTCTGGCCCCCGACGCCAGCCAACTGTTCTTCCCTCGTGTTGGTTAAATGTTCTAGACTTGTTGGCGGTGAAACACCGCAGTGATTCCCCCACTGGTCGTAGGACCAGCAAATCACACTACAGTACCGCGTATATTTAACCCTTTCGGCCCTGGCGGTGGCAATTGCCACCACAAATTCAAACGCTTGCATTTCCGCTGAAACAGCATGGTTTTTCTAATCCTGCTAGAGGTTGCTTCAGTCAACCTTCCCCTTCCTAATTATGAGCTTAACCGGCCATTTCATTTTTATTGCTGTTAGTATTGCAAGTATTTGTGTACAAGTGCAACAGTGAATGGGCGCTGACCCCCGCAACCGGCCAAGTAAGTGTGACTTTGTCTTAAAATACTTGAAGTGGATCCATTCCTAAATCAAAATTATGGGTTATAATATTATGCAAGATTATAAACTTTTTCGGCACAACTATGAAACTTCGAATTGTTTCGACATAAGCTTAAAAACTAAGAAGGTTGGCCAATTTTCAAAGCTTCAGTTTCTTTGTTTGTGATCGAATAGCTTCCAAATTTTCGCCATAATGATACCTATATGCTCACAAGTAATAACAATAGCTAGAAGAAAAATTTCTCCACGGGGAAAAATTCAGGTCCGAAAGGGTTAAAGAACTTCGTATGCGTATAACGAAAAAGATTGATTAAGGCCGTATGACTTGATCTTTGCTTTTGATTACAGCATTTTCCAGCAATCAATATTATGGTATAATTGATAGTGACGAAACCAAACCGTTATACTGCACGCAACTATACTTTACCATAAACTTACATACTTAGCCATCGACTTCTTCTCGTTCTAGATGCGATAGATATTACCGGCTAACTTCGAGCCCGCCAACCGTTATGATTGCTGTGAAGATGGTCCCCAACCTAGTAAATAAATAAATATCCGTGCACGACAGCTATAGGACTAATTATAACTAATCATTCCGTCGTAGTTGTCGCAGACGCGAGCGGCATCGTCATCAGCAATTGAGTTGCCATCGATCCCAGTCCATCACCACCGCCTTCATGTTCTGAATAAAAATAAGCGCAGCTCGAAAAAACTCTTCAGCGGCGCAAATTGCTCAAGCAGTCGCAAACACTTGTTTTTAGTGCTACTCTATCATAGGCAATTCCAAAGTATCAGAACGTCAGACTGTTGTTATCTTTCGCTTTGCCTGACAGTTGAATCCATTTGTCGGCTCAGTTTCATGCACACTCTCCAATGCACTTAAATGAAAAATATAAACAAATTTTCCCGGAAGTATGCAGGGTCGATGCCATATAGTTCGACTAAAATATTATGTGGTTTCCGAATATTATAATTTTTCTCTCCAACTCAAAGAGCCCTCGGCATCATACCCTTCCACCATGGAGTTCAAACTATAACTACTTTCAGGCACACTGATTCGATCGCGTCGTTGTCGTTCAGCCAAAAGCAGGCGCTGACCGCCTCGTGGCGCCTGCTGCGTCCACAAGCGCCGGGTCTTTTCAGAAAAATCTACCTAGAATTGGAAATTGTTTCCAATAAAGTGAAACAGGTGAGAATTCTCTGCTATGAAAATTGTGTAGTATTAGGAATAAGCTGTTCAAAGGAAATAAAAAGAGGCAAAATCTGTAACAGTGTGCCGGTGTGGGGTTCGTAGTTGCAGCCATCGTTACTTTCAAGACCACATCTGCAAACCATCGTATCTGACTGCCTCAGCTCTGTTATTCGCTCAGCCTGCCCGGTTTGTCCTCTCCTCTGAGTACAGCCGTCTCTCGATGATATCTTTCCGCAGAGTGCCACGCTGAGCAGAAAAGAGGCCCTCAAACGAAATGTCTTGATTAGTCTTTTCCTTTTTCCATCGATTCAATCAGAACCTGCATAACTGAACAACCCACTTATTTCATCGCGAAGTGTGCCTCTCAGCCCAAAGTAGGGCAAAGACAAGTGGGAGCCCTGCCACCCACACGGTCCGGTATCAAATCTGAGGTTGAACTTTGCCCAGGCTAAGCAGCCTTGCTGATCGAGTACTTGGTACAAATCAAAAAGGGACTCAAGTGATGTCAAATGGTCCACGTTATCCCTAAGGCAGTGAACCCGCTGGCTAGAGGGCAGAGCGGTTTTATTGACGTCATTGGGCGTTGGTGGATGAACGTTTGGAGGTAGATAATCTTTACCACCTCTCCAACCGCGCTCAGGATTCTGAACCACCGGTGGCGCGCAATAACATCATATGTTAACTCTTGTCTTCAAGGTAAAACTGACCTAGGGAACCAATCAAATTTACACCCATAGGTATACAATATAGATTTTATTCCCTAATCACATACATACATCATTTGAAAAGTTTGTGGGAACCTTTCCAAGAACATTTCTGATTTTTTCAGATTTTCTACAAAGCACTGTGTGTTGATGCGTTCAATAAAGATGAAGAGAATATCGCCACAATGGATGTCCATATAAAACTGATGGTGAAGTAGGTTTCAAGCTCTTTCTGCTGTTTTACGAACACTGAATTCCCCTGAAGAAAAAAGTACACCTTTCTTAATTGTAAACTCACAAAGCATACTACAAAAAAGAGAACAAAAGGTAAAGTTTGATAGCAAGTAAGATTGTAGTAGTGTATTGTAGTTGTAGTTCAGTAGTAAACTTTTGCTTATCTTACGGTGGTTATGTAGGCATCCTTCCCTTTCTTCGTGTGGGCTTTACGCCTTCCGTTGTTCACTCTATCTGCGAGCTTAACACATCGATGAGTGGAACACACCGTATGCACAAAAGGGGTCTTATATAGTAGAGGGTATCATCACTATCACAAATCACGTTAAATTGGATAGAACATCTCTGATTCGCACCTTGTGTTTGTAAGGGGTTGGTTGCTCTCCAATCCTGCTACCTTTCCGTTCTCCTTCAACTGTGACGGCAATCCCACGTGGAATGGCCTGGAGTGTGCTTAGTGGGTGTTTCTATTAACAGTTGAGGGTCTTATCGCTATCATGCCACCACGGAACACCGATACCTCATGATCTACGGGCTCCTCCGTTTCATTAGTTGTTTTTCTGTCACTTTCCCTTACCATACCCCTGGGCACTGTGTGCAAGGATAAGAATGCACATGCAACGTAAAACAGCATAAACAGGATAATACATACGACAAAACTGACTACCAAGTTCGATAGACACAGAGGGAGCTCGGTGAAACTCCAGTCCGTGGGTGGAGTGCACACCATTGTGCTCTCCAGTACTAAGTACAAGGATAAGAGTTTTCATGACACGTAATCGATTCAATTCATTCAAAATTGATACAGATAAGGACCGATGTAGGTAGTGGTGGGAAGTAAATCCTAAGGTGCTTTCGGGTCTGCTTGTGTCCAGGTAAGTGGTCCTGACGCCTCAGGGGTATGTACATCCCGTTCCAGGGGCACTAAGGTGTAGTACAGACCAGGCAGTAGGACGATTACAAACGTAAATTAAGATTCGGTCTAGGATGTGAATGAGGTCCTGTGGGTAGTGGAGCGGCACGGTTCTTATAAATGTGCACGTCGTAATGAGTCGTGTCCTATTATATTTATATACCAGATTAGTCCCCCGTCAACCGCCGGGACCTTCCTTTCCTGCGCAAGCTTTCTATCCTCCGCTATGGTCCCTTCCTCCTGTGACACCAACACCTCGTGGAAGTGACGCGTATGCAACACAATGGTGTTTCATACAGTAGAAGGGACACAATCATGATATGACGGTAGATTTTTCGCTTCCCTTCCTCATCCTCCCTTCCTCTCTCCACTGCCCTCCAGCTGCCACTGCAGCACCATGTGGAATGAACGGAAGTGTGCTAAGCAGGTGTTTATATAGCCCTGAAGAGTGTTATCACAACTATCCTGCTACAAAACATTGATATCTCAAATCCTGTAAGCTACCCGATTTGTTAGCGGTTTGTTTATCCCATGAGCTTCCTTCTCACTCACTTCATTTTGCGGACGGACACACATACATACATACACACACATACAGATACACAAACCGACACACAAAGTTAGCGCTTTATAAAATAGAAGGATCGAATTCAAAGAAACGGGCCTGTGACTGCGATAAATATGAAAGGAAACCACCCCCCCCACCCACGATTCCGAGAGCTGGGAGCTACACGGATGTTTAATACGCGGAGAGACTGGATCTTAATCACCTGGCTCACCACCAGATGAGACTCTGACCAAACCCGAATATTGGTCGGCCTCCATTAGGTCATGTCAGCTCGCAACAATTTTAGCTTTCAGATTCTTCGACGACATTTTGGCGTCGCTGGAAGACGAAGCTGAATGTATCGATCGAATGAAACGGATCGGCATGTCACATGCGGTACTGGCCAGATCTTGTGGATTCACCAGGTAAGTACAAAATGGTTTCAGTGACAGGCTGAGCCAATGAGCCAACTGCAAAGCGTGCACCATGAAATTATGTGAGCCTACTGTATTTACCGTTCGAGGACGGCTGTCTAAGGCACAGGATTGAACTGGTATGCGAGTTAGGCTGGAGAAATCGGGAACAATCGAGGATAAGGCCTCTCTTCATGTAAAAGCTGTAGCATCGAACAATAAGAGGCAGGCAGAGATATGGGGGATACCTAAAGCCGAAGAGAGGGAAGAGAATCATAGGCGAGGAAGCATGGATACGAGCGAGTGTACCACACGAGTCAATTCCTGAGCGGGATCTCGGTTGCTAAGTGAATCCCTGTGCCGGTGAAAATGTAGTTTGGGGGGGGCACTACAAAATAATTTTAATCGACGCTGGCGAATATATCCAATCGAAGTGGAGCGGCGAGGTAGGGCGGTATATAAGGATACCAATCCGTGCCATACAAAATCGGATACCTGGGAGGCCCTTTCTTCGAGGGTTTGTATGGCAGTCGCAAGAAGGTTTGATGAAAGTAAGGAGCCAGCAGGGTAGCAGCCATTTTAGCCCTAGACCAATATGACAGGAGTAAGCGTACTAGTCCAGTGGCCACGGTCTTAGAGAAAGATATGATAATGCCTGTCCCGCAACTCTACTTTGATTAGATATGAGTGTCTAGTTGCGGCAGCTTCATTTTCGATTAGATAGGAGTGAGCCCCCACCCACCCCCCCCAACACTCATTCTGGGCACCCTGTTGCTTCTACAGTCCTTCACTTTTTTTTCGCCTGCTGGCAATTTGGTGCAGTGGATTGGGTAATCATCTGTATATGAGCAGACCGCTCTACCTCTTCGGCTGGGCTTCACTACAGTGGCCCAATCGTTGACTGTGCCTTCGGTTCTTCCGTCTCTGCCTGCTCATAAGTAAAAGTCATTGTTTGAATGCGTTTCCGCAGGAATATTATGTTTCTTCCACTGTCGTCGGAATGAAATGTGAAGAACAAAATGACTGACGATGATCAGACTTTTATGGGATGGGTCAGGCATGTGACTTCAGTGCAAAAACAGTGAGATTTTCGAATAGGCACCCTTCCCCCACCCCTCCCCAAACCACCCCATCAATTAAGAAATTGACTCCTACTCTATTTCAATAACCAAATTTTAATGTAGACACATCCTATTGACTTCAATCTTTCAGTGACATATGGGAACGGCTTGGTGAGATATCAATGGAGCGGATTTGCGCTCACGAAATTGTACAGGTAGGCTAACTGTCTATGAAAATCTTTGTTAGGACAGTATTTCGTTATAGATATTTCCTCTGTTGCCCGAAACTATAATTCTGACAAGAGAACAGGATGTTGCTTTTTTCTTTTGCCACCATTAGAAGAAAAAAAAGCAGTAACAGACCTGCACAGGAGTTGAGTCATTGTTTCGTTCAAATGTAACATACATTTCACTTAGAAGACTCGGGAGGCGGCTCGAGCTTGGCGAATATTACTCGCCTGCGTTATTGACGAACTTCGAAGTGGCTTCGATGGCGAGGCTCGCTACCACAGGTATGAAATACAACATGTAGACAGTCGATTGAATTGCCACATTTCGGGGTGAGGTGGAAATATGCTAAGAGTCACCTGCATCCCATGATCCCTACACAGTTTGAAACCATCCATGGAAACTATGGAAGCCCCCTTCATGTATGATTGAGTTGACTATATGGATTTTCGTAGCTCCGAAGTGAGTCCAGCTGAACCTACTGGAGGAGAAGAAGCCACGGCACGCTGCAATCGTAGTTGTCATGAGCGCTGCCACTTTATTAAGGACCGCTCGTCTTCTGCAGGGATTGAACCAGCAAAATTTAGCGGGTTCCTCATTTTCACATTCTTCACCCTTTTCTTTACTCCGAGAGAGTTCGCCTTGTCTTCCAGTAGTGGAAAACGATTGTCTCTCTTCAAAGTGATGGTGTGAGCCATGGGCGAGCGCAATTTTAGCATCGATTGGCTCCTTTCTCTTTTTGAAAGCTCATGGTCAGATCGCAGAAAAAAAGATCCTTTAGGTCTTAGCGCAACGGTATTTTGTAGTGCCGAAGGAAAAAAAAAGAAACAAGAAAGGGACAGACGGAGAAGGGAACAAAAATAATGTTGCAAGGAAGAAAAGGTCTGGTTTCAAAGTAAAGGGGTAATGCGATGCGACGGATATCAGCCTATCACTAAGAGGGAATATCCAGATTTTGCACTGAAGAGGGAATCACCGCGGAATGCGCGAATCACGCGCTTCACGGTTTTATAATAACCATAATCTGTTGATCCGTTTCTTTTTACCCTGGTCAGGCCGAAGAATTGCTTACTAAGCAATATGAACTGGTCGCACGACATCACTGCCCCACTTCCCCGGATTGATGGATCAAAAAAGGATGTCAGCAAATAGCGTATGGACTCATAATGAAATGTTATGACCCAATCTAGGCCTAAGCTTTTGCTTATCCTTACGATAGGTCTTTCAGGAAAAGATTATCGAAACGACAATTGGCGAACGATGTGGATAGCGTCGATGATGATCCTGACAGTAACATCAAGAGAAAATGCGGCAGTTACGCATGGAATACGACTCGACAGTGCCTTACCACTAAAGGTGCTACTTGGTGATCAAATGCTTTCTCTTTTCTATTATCATACAATCATCACAACTGTTGACTAATCATCAGATGCATAGTCGAAACTTCTGTCCTATTCTATTCATATTGCAATGTTAGGGCCTCTCTTCCGTTTTCGTATCCCTCACGGCTTTCGCGAGGTCCCCTAACTGATAAATCTTTTTGATAAGATGTTTTCCATTTATCACAAAATCTGATACAAGAATAAAGAGATTTGCAACGCAAACTAGCAAGTCGTATCCTCAAGATCGTTTTATTACCTTCTTTGGATGTTGGGTAAAGCGTTCTCGAGCTTATCGGTGTGAGCACGCTACATAGGGCTCAGCGTTCATAATAGACTTGTGGTTTCTTGCGACGGATTTGCGTGGATGGAAGTACACCATGCTTCCGTGCACGGCAAACACGTGTCTGAGCTGTTCAAGTTGCAAGTTTTCGGGTACCCGACAGGAGGCCTGTCGCGCTGCAAAAAGGCAGAGTCGGCGGACGAGTTGCGGCGCGTACTGTAGTGATTTCGCGTAAAACTGAATAAAATACATCACTGTACGTACTACATCGCACTACACGCGCTGCGACTCGTTCGCTGACTCTACCTTTTTACCGCGCGACGGGCCTCCTGTCGGACACACCAATTTTCCAGTAGTCTCCGCAGTTTTGGTTAAATGTGTCCCATGACTACTGTGTAGAGGGGTGAGCGATAATGTATTTTTTTCCTTTCAAGCTGCTATGACTACTGCGATGGGACAACAACTGAAAAAGTTAGGTGGATTGCCAGAGAGAGCGAGAGCGTAGACGCACAAAAACAGCGCAACTATTAAAGTAGTGATGTAACGCTGCTTAGCTAAGAAATTGGACGATCTGAACGGCTCAAGCCAATCGCCGCTATGTTTGTCGCGTGCGATGTGCGACGTATTCTTTTGACATACACCAGACTCGACTTGCTCCTTTCACCTCGACCCTGCGTATTGGACATAGGACACCCTCTATATTTCATTATTAAATACGCGTTGAAGAGAAGATTGCTCGAGCTCGGTCTAGTGTAGCACTGCTGCAGTATGCAATAAGTGCGAATTTCTTTTCTGTTGGCTTTCTAACTCATTTCCATATCCGATATCATCTAGCTGATCTCACATTTCACTCGCTTTTGTATAGCTTGCTGCACAATTTTTATGTTTTGGGTCGCATTATCATAATCGTATGTTGCGTGTGTTAAAACATTCTTTATATGCACATTTATTTTGTTCGATCTCATTTGTATTTATGTTTATATGGATAAAAGTTAAAGAGATAAATTCGACATATCACAAAGACTCTTGCTAAACTTGATATTGTTGACCAGTTTAGCTCCGCACGCTACCGCGCACGTGACACGGTAGGCTTCGTTGAAACTGTATAGCCTGTGGAACGTTAGGTCCCACCGCTAAAGAATGCAACACTAAGTTGCATCGGAAATGCGCTGGCTGACCTTCCCATAGCCTCCCCATTTTTGCTGAAGCTCACCGTTGATACGCGCGATAGAGTGCAGAGCTAAAGTGGTGTATGTAAACAACCACCATGCGTTGAATGTCAGGGTAATTTAGCGGTCGAATGATATTTTGATGCTAATAGTGTTAAAATAGAAATACCCAGTGGTCATTATCATATTTCTTCAAACATCCACCATACATTCATAAGAACTTTGAAAAGAGTAGCCATCGAATGGATTTCGAGGATGGCAGGATGTTGTTCAGGAATTTTCAATCATAAACGAGAGGGTCGATTTTTTCTCGTCTGAAGGATATGGGCTTTCCCACTTTGAGCTTTATCCCGTTAAGTCACAAGTGGCCAGACGGTTCAAGCTAGACATGGTGAATAATGAAATTTGCGAGTACCATCTGGCTTCAGGTGCTAATACAGGGTGTCCCAAAATTACTTGCGCCGAACTTCAAAATTTCACTGGAAAAGGTATCGATTATTTTCATTTTTCGCGCTACTAATTAGTTGTGCAGGTAGGTTCTCTTGTGAACTGCATCGTTATTGGGGTAAAACTGCCAGTATCTCTGAGATGGCAAGAGGTGATCCAATGCGACCTGCGATCAGTCGCATGCATGAGGAAGGGACTGCATCGAAGGACATCACTTGATTTCTTGTGTTTCTCCTCGAGACTGCCCAGACGATCATGTGAACACTTATTAACATGCTTGGGCAAGGAATGATGCTCAACGTTTGCACAGATAGTGATTAAAATGGTTGCTTAGCAATTCACGGTGCTCCATCAGAAGCATGGCGAGGCTTCTGAATGTATCAAAGTCATCGATGATTCGCATTGTCATGGAAGAGCACCATTCCCAAGCCTATCGTATGCAGAATGCGAATTCATTCTGTACAGCAATAGCACCGGAGAGGCCAATAAGTTGGAAGGTTACCAGCGCACTCCATTAGCCATACGCAACTCTCAATCGTTTTCCTGACAAAAAAATATTCGCCGTGGAGCCGGTGCTAATTCGCCGAATCGGGAGTGTCATCTCACAGAAAATACCTTAATAATAGTTGAGTCGCGCAATGGTGAGATGCTGTGAATTCGCCGATTCCCGTATTAAGATCAGCAACCGTGCATATTGGTTAAAGTATCGAAGGAGTGGTCCATCTCCAAAAAAGTAAATAGAGAACGTTCTCATTAACAGTCCTGCGTGGCATCCGTTGATTTATCATTTTCATCCTGTTGAACATTAACACGTTGACGACATCGCGCGTTTTGGCATTTTTGGCCGCGTGGGACCAGAGCGGTTCTGCGAGCGCCGCCGCCTCACAACAAATCTGTGGATTTTGAGCTTTAAATACGCAATACTTCGATGCGACAAAATGTTTTCACTGATATTCGGTGTGTCAAACTTATTGGAAGGTACACATGTGAAAGTGCGGTCGAATGATGTGTTACAGCATTGAAAAGGCAAGTTTCACTTACTTTTGCTTTAGTGATTTCAAAATTATTTTGGACGTGGTTGTTTCGGTAAAAACACATATCTTGCCATCAAGAGTAGCTTT